GGAGGGGGGGAGGGAGGGAAAGAGACATCAAGTGGTTGCCTCCCACCTGCACCCTGACTGGGGCCAAACCTGCAACCAAGGTACATGCCCTTGGCCAAAATCGAACCCAGGACCCTTTGATCCACCAGCCTACACTCTAACCACTGAGTCAAACCTGCTAGGGCGGGGTGCTATTTTAGATCAGGTAGTCGAAGGCCTCCCTAAGGAAGTGACATTTCAGCAAAAACCTGGAGAAAGTGAAAATGGACATGTGAGTATCTGGTTGGACATTGCAGGCAGAAGGAACAGCAAGTGCAAAGGCCCTGGGGCTAGAACATGCTTGGCCTGTTCTGCAAGTAGAAAGGAGGCTACTGTGTTAGAAGCAGAGGAGAGCTGGAAGAATGAAAAGATCCAGTTTGTGTTTTATAAGATTGGTGCAGCTGCTGTGTAAAATAGATTGTGGGGATCAAGGGCAAGGAGGAAGCCGCTGCCCTAATCCAGGTGAGAGGTGATGGAGCCATGAGGATGGGGAAAGGCTTGGAGTGTGATGATAGGTCAAGTTGACTGGATGGAGTGTGAGGGAAGGAGAAAAAAGCATACAAGGAGGATTCCTCAATTGGAAGACTGGCAGGAAACAGCAAGAATTCTCTTTGGCTCCTGTCCTATTTGGATTACCTTAGATCTCCACAAGGAGACTGGGATGGAGAGCTAAATTTAGGAGTAAGCACAGGAGTGGCATTTAGAGCCCTAAAACTGAATGAGGCTGCCAGGGGTGGGTGTAGACAGAGAGGTCCAGGGCCTGATGCAGGCATCACTGGGAAGGTAGGAGGAAACCATGAGTGTGTGGCCTGGAAGAGAAAAAAAAATCAACCCTGTCAAATCACTAGGTATGGCCAAACCCTGATGAAGGGAGGAGAGGCAGACCCTTGTTCACATTGAGCTACTGGAGGAGGGAACTGTTTTTCAAACTCTCTGGGTTTAACACATCTGCACACACTTTTCCATACATATATACTTGTAGTGCTAAATGTGTTTTTAAATGGCCAGCACTGCTGTCATCCTGGCCTCTAACAATAAAAAAATAGTAACACTGTGTGGTGTGCCAGGCACCTTACTAAGCAATTTACATGTACTATCTTCCTTAATCTTTACAATGTACCTGAGAGGTAGGGACTATTCCAAAATTTACAGCCAGGGAAACTGAGGCCCAGAGAGGTGAAGTAACTTGCTCAAAGTTGCACAGAAAGCAAGTAGAACTGGCTGTCTGGGCTCAGAAATCTGTGCTCCTTGCCCCACAGTTTCTGCAGCTGGCCTTTTTTACCCAGAATCATGGTTCTGGGTTCTGTTGCCTGAGCGTGTAGATCTGTCAGGTTCAGGCTCTGTACCTTTGGGGCGGGGAGTCAAGGATAGTTCACATTCTGCCAGACCCGTCCAGTGGGATGGGCACGTAGGTTGTTTCAAATCTGTGCCAATTTCAGACAACACTGTGAACACCCTTCTGGAAACTCCTGCTGGTTCCTTGGGGAATCGCCTGCTCACAGGATATGTGACCTTTGCAGTTTTCACAGCCACAGTCCAATCAGTCACTCCCCAGGGGCTGTCCCAACACCCGAGTGTCGGGTAATGGACTGAGAGCTCCAGGCCCCATCGGTGTCGGTTACGTGACACGTTTTCGATGGTGCCTCTTCTGACGGGTGAAATAAGGTCGGGGGTGGGGGGGTGA